TATTCAACCGGATATTCGCACGTATAATGAGCCCGTGCTATTATACATGTTTACACACACTCCAGTGCTGGCACATTACAACAATACTGTGTAGTATACACATACTAATATGCTGAAGTATGACCCAATATTCCTGTACTGAAGAAAGAGGACAAGGCAGTTCTGTTGGCCAAGGGATTCAACACAGCCGGTGACTTCATCCGCATGTTCACAGAGATTGCGCGTCTGTGTATGCGGAAGATCGAACGGCGCGTAGACGAGGACAGTCTCGCAGGGCTTAAAACGTCATTTGAGAAAATAGTGGCCGACTATGTGGTGAACACCAGCGATAACAGGATGTAAGTATGCGTTATGTCTTAAAGCGTCATTTGAGAAAATATTGGCCGACTATGTGGTTAACACCAGCGATAGCAGGATGTAAGTATGCGTTGTTATGTCTTAAAACGTCATGTGAGAAAATAGTGGCGGATTATGTGGGTAAAATAACAGTGACAAAATAAAAAGTCAGTGGTGTGAGGACTTAAAACGTCATGTGAGAAAATAGTGGACGACTATGTATTTAACAACGGCGATTACACAGCGGATATCTGCGGTGTAGGTGACTGGTGTTCGAGTAGGGGGTCTTTCCAAGTCCTATGTACTGCCTACCGACGCTCTCTACCTACTTTGTCTACCGACTATCTCTACCGACTGTCTCTACCGCCGCTCGTAAGTTCTCCAGAGATACTTTCGACACTTCGAGCTGCCTTTTCATATTATGTGTCAGCCTTATGCATGACGCACTTGTCGCCCACTAATCATTGCAGTCTATTTAGGGTTTAAGGTTTCTGGGGTTTAGTACACTCTGATATCACCTGTTGTGAGATTTTAGTTCAGCACATCTGTACTTTGTCATCCATAACACTGTACTTTCATATACACAACACTGTACCTTCATATTCATAACACTGTACTTTCATATCCAAGTTACACTAGATTCCTATGTGTATTCGAGGCAGTGGTGCATGTAGTCCTTCGTAGTGTTATACCGGGTTTCAAATAGTTTAATATAAAACAAGTACCGTTGTCTGTTTACAGTTGATTGATCGATATTTCAGCCGCGACTATTAACTAAAGAAGTGTCCGTTACTAGGCTATGGTTGGTGTTGGTGAGAGGGTCTTCATATTTTGTGGCCGTGAGCGTATAATATTACATCTAGAACATACTCTGTAGATCGCTTGCGCAAGTAGTGGGTTTTAGGGTTGTAGGGTTTACATCAGGTACTCCTGTAGTTCACGCACACCACCGGTAGGTGTGTCCTTGAACGTCTCCGGCAGTGTATCAACGGGTTGTGGTTTCAGATATCCACACATACGCACAATGTACACATACATATATATGTACATGAGATTGTTAGCCTATGCACACACTCGCACTACAACACGTTATCGCGTGCGTGTATACAAGCCGCACACCTCTCTCTACAATTTCCGTTTACCTTGAACCGTATTGAATGCAGAAGCAGCAAGGGGAGACAGAACAGCAACGAAAACGTTACACGCAAGACATCCATGGCCAAAAGTAAGTGGAAAAGCTCACACGGTTTGAGTGAATATGTGCCAAATGATGTCTTTAAGTGGATAGGAATGATGTGTATAAAGAATATAAATGATGTGTGTAGGTGAATAAAATGATGTGGTTAAGTGAATAATATTAGTGTTTGATGTGAATAAGTGAATATTAACAATATGTACATGTGAACAAAAATGATGTGTATAGATGCATACGTGCAAAAAAGGATGTATGATATATATCCCATGTATTGATACCCACTGTCGTACACACAATTGTACTGCTTCGCCTCACTACCGGAGAGGTCTGTTCTCACTCAGTGGTCGTATCTGCTGCTGAATGTTTGGGGTTGGTTCATGTACACAGCCGTAGCGCCGCTACTGCGATAAACTAGGCCATCGAAGGGTTGGGTTGCATTTTTTACCTACTTATCAGATATAAGTAAGGATGCGTTTGTTACCTACTTATCCGATAAAAGTAAGGTTGCGTTTGTTACCTACTTATCAGATATAAGTAAGGATGCGTTTGTTACCTACTTATCAGATATAAGTAAGGATGCGTTTGTTTCCTACTTATCAGATATAAGTAAGGTTGCGTTTGTTACCTACTTTTCAGATAAAAGTAAGGATGCGTTTGTTACCTACTTATCAGATATAAGTAAGGTTGCGTTTGTTACCTACTTATCAGATGTAAGTAAGGTTGCGTTTGTTACCTACTTATCAGACATAAATAAGACTGCGTAGTATTGAGGCTATTCCTTGTGTTAATTGGCTTGGCTACACCCACGACTTATGAACGAGGGCTGATAGGACTCCCATTCGGGTCGTCATATCTCAAGCACCAACTGTGTTTGCTGATATAATCGCGACCTTGGCTAATACGTTTAACGTTTAACACAAGCACAGACGCCAATCAAAACGTCAAGATACTATTCACTGACAGGCACACGGCGTTGGCCAAGGTCTACAACGTCCCGAAACGCGAGCACATGGTAAGTTACCCACTATCCGTTAACGCAATTACATGGTATATAACTAACTACCCGTTAACGCAAGTACATGGTATGTCACCAAATACTCGTAAAATCAAGTACACGGTATATTACCAACTACCCGTTAACGCAATTACATGGCATATAACTAACTACCCGTTAACGCAAGTACATGGTATGTCACCAACTACCCGTTGAATCAAGTACATGGTATATTACCAACTACCCGTTAACGCAAGCACATGGTATGTTTCCAACTACCCGTTAACGCAATTACATGGAATATAACTAACTACCCGTTAACACAGGTACATGGTATGTCACCAACTACCCGTTAAATC